GCGGCGACAACGACTCGCGCCCGTGCCCGCCACCCCCGCTTAAAGGCGCCGCGGTGCTCCCGGAGCCCGCCAGGGGGCGCCCGACTCGGCCGCGCCCCGGCCCCGCCTGCACCTGCGCGCAGCACCGGGCCTCTACTCGCCCGCACCCAGTGCCCGCGCAGCATGAATGCAAAGTGCCCGAGGCCCCTCGCAGATCCCGGCTCGCAGCTTTCCCGGGCCTGGGGGCACGCTTCTCACGAAGGTCAAACGGGAGCCGCGCAGAGGGGTCCCCGAGGTGTCCCACTCCCCTCCCCTTGGAAGGCTGGCTCACATCAGGTGATCCATAGCTTGGCCTCCCCATGTAGGAGCAGGAGGGAAGGTCGGTCGCCCATGCAGGGGATGGACATCACTCCCTGGGAGATCCCATCCCATCTGGACTGAGTGGGGACTTACTTCAAGACTCCAACCGGCACACCTTGACCTGCGATCTTCCTTTTTTAATTTTTATTTTACTTTAAATTATTTTATTTTATTTTGTTTTATGTGTATGCGTGTATTGCCTGCGTGTAGGTAAGTGCACCCGTGTCGTGCAGTGCCCACGGGGGACAGAAGAGGCTGTCAGATCCCCTGGAACTGGAGTTAGGGACAGTTGTTAGCTGCCATATGGGTGCTGGGATTCGAACCCGGGTCTTCTGCAAGAACAACCAGTGTTCTTAACCACTGAGCCATCTCTCCAGCCCTATTTTTATTATTTTCATTTTATGTGTATGAGTGTATTGCCTGCATATATATAAGTACATTTATGTCCTCATGTCGTACAATGTCCAGAGAGGTCAGAAGAAGGTGACTGATTCCCCTGGAACTGGAGTTACAGATGTTTGTTAGCTGCCATGTGGGTGCTGGGAATCGAACCCGGGTCCTCTGCAAGAGCTCTTAATCACTGAGCCATCTCTCCAGCCCCAACCTGTGATCTTTTTAACAGAGACCTGGTGAAAGGAAATGCCCTGAGTAGGCCACCCACTTAAAGGCTTTCTGTGTCTTTTGTAGATGAACCACTTGCTGATGAAGTGACATCCGTTTAGACTATTAACACAGAGGGCAACCAGGCCTGGTGGCACACACTTAAATCCCAGAGCTTGAGAGAAAGAGGCAGGAGGATCAGGAGTTCAAGGTTATTCTTAGCTATGTAGTGAGTTCAAGACCAGCCTGGGCTCCAGGAGACGCTATTCAAAAAAAAAAAAAAGATGAGGAAAGACATAGGGAAATAGGGAAATGAACATTGCATTTTGCATTACAGGACCCGGGGGTACACACACACACACACACACACACACACACACACACAGAGTGCAGGTGCTAGTAGCTGTGGACCAAGCCTTTTTAAGGTCCAGGGTGTCATCCAACTAGACTTCCCACAAGTAGTTTTTTTTAATGTGTATGAGTGTATTGCCTAAGTGCACCCATGTCGTGCAATGCCTGCAAAGGTCAGAAGGCATCGGATCCCCTGGAACTGGAGTTATGGACGGTTGTTAGCCACCATGTGGATGCTGGGAATTGAACCCAGGTCCTCTGCAAGAGCAGTCAGTGCTCTTAACTGCTAAGCCATCTCTCCAGTCCCCCCTCAAGGAGTTTTAATTGGGTTTAGAGCAAGCAGGCTGGAGTTTCATGGAGCCATTGAGAAGTGGTCTACAGGCTCTCTGTCCCATCCATTCAGGTGAGGGGCTCAGCAGGCTGTATGTAACACCTCTTTCAGGGAGGTGATCACTGGGCACTAACAGCTGGGTGTACACATGAGGGACAGGACTGGAAACTGCCAAGGGTGAGAGAGCCCTAATTCTGGCCTAAGAAAGGTTTATATTCAAAATGGTGTGGAGACATAAGCTTTAAGAATTTACAGTTGGGGGGCTGGAGAGATGGCTCAGCCGTTAAGAACACTGGCTGTGGAGCTGGAGGTATGGCTTAGCAGTTAAGAGTACTGACTGCTCTTGCAGAGGACCCAGGTTCAATTCCCAGCACCCACATGGTGGCTACGAACCGTCCTTAACTCCAGTTCGAGGGGCATCCGAAGCTCTCTTCTGACCTCTGAAGCATTGCATGACACGGGTGCACTCACATGCGTGCAGGCAATACACTCATACACATAAAATGAAAATAATAAATAAAAATATTTTAAAAAAAGACACTGGCTGTTCCTGCAGAAGACCTAGATTTGAATCCCAGCACCCACATGGCAGCTAACAGTTGTCCATAGCTCCAGTCCCAGGGGATCCAACAGCCTCTTCTGACTTCCACAGGCATCACAAGACATGGGTGCACTTACCTACATGCAAGCAATACACACATACACATAAAAGTAATAAATAAAAAAATAAAGATTAGTGGAAGAAGTTACAGCTGTCCACTGTAGCTGCCAGGTTAGGCCTGGCTGCTCTTCCCAGATTACAGTTTTGAGTGGTGAGAGAACAGTAAGGAACCCCCAGAACCACTCCCTGCCGACAGAGGTGCTCAAAGAGACAATGTGCCTGGCCTCTTTACAAGGAACCTGGGGTTGGGTCAGTCTGCAGAGGTGTTTGGGCACCTGCTTGAGTCAGGCCCAGACTGGATCACACAAGGCCTGGCCTGATACTGTTGTAAGACCCATTTCTCCATATAGCCAGCAGAGGGCAGCAGAGGGTCACTAGTGCCCTCAATCAGGGGAGGTCTTGTGGGTGGGTGCTCTCTGATGGCTGCTTACCAGCTTGGGTTTCCCACCTGTGAATGGAAGGGACGAGGCTCTGTAGTGTCTAACCTGGGACACACAGAGCCCTCACCTAACTTGAACAAAAGACTTAGAGAGCTAAAGCTTTCTACCGCTTCCTAGCCCCTTTGAGGAGAACAGACCCCTGAGCTCACAAGCGAGGGCACACCCCCTCCAACCAGCCCCCAGCCTCAGGACACTTCCTTCTCCCCAGTTAGCCCATGAGGCTGGGTCAGGGCAGGAAGCCATGGGCAGGCCTTTCCCACAAGCCCGGGGGGAGGGAGGCTTCCTGCCTGTATTGCGTGCCACCATACCCCCAAGGCCTGGACAAACCCAAGCCGCAACCCACCCCAGGAGCTCAGCCTGTTTGCACGCTCACAGGCTCACCCCCAACGCCCCCACCCCCGGCCCACCGCGAGGGGCTCCTGCTGCAGCAGGGTCTTCATGACCCATCCTTCCACCAAATTGGGCCCATCCGCACAAGACACCCCCTAATGTGAGACCTGTGATATGTGGTACTTCTAGCCTCAACTACATTTGACCTTAATTCTCAGTTCTGCCTTGACCTCTGAGAGCAGAGGGGTAAGGTGTCACTTAAGCAAGGCTCTTGGGTAGAAAAGGAGCCTGGTGGCTGCACAGGGCAGGGGAGGGCTGGCTGACAAGGTTCGGCTGCCTTGAAGATCTGACCCAGGAGATTTATGTCTGTGTCTTTATTGTTGAACGCCTCTCTCCATGAGTAGACTGTGTCTGCAGAAAGCCCCATATTGTCCTTCCCCTCCCCCACCCTTCGGTCTACCACATGGTCTGTACTCAGGGTTCCAGAATATTCACCTACAGCCCTGAGGCCAGCACCTTGATTACTGAGGTTCAAACTCCCAGAGTTTGTCCCACAAATCACAGCCCAAGATGTCCCAAAGCACTGCCTCCCTCCTTCAACTGAGCCTTGATTCATGAGCATGTTCAAGGTAGGTCTGGGCACACTCAACATTACCTTTCTTCAATTAGCTCATGCAATATGCTCCTCACTAATTCCCTCCATGCTCTCGTCTCCATCCCCAGATCCTTACTGAAAAGTTCACCAGCTTCCCCCTCCAGGCAGCCTCCCCAGCCCAACCTGTTCTCAGTTCTTGCTTCCTGGTTGCTGACCCCAGCCTCGGGTTAGCCTTATGTCAGGTTAGCCGGATGCCTGGTGGTTTGATTTCAACATCCAGCCCTTCCACCCACAAAGCCTCTCCTGGCATCAGGAGCTCATGCCTGGAACCAGCCTTCTAGGTCTTCATAAACCTGGCTACGGGGTAGGTGGGGGTAGCGGGCACAGATGGTGCAGAAACGCTCCCGCCAGTCACCCAGCAGCCGCACTTGGAGCCGATTTCGCCAGGCAAAGAATTGATGATAGCGACTCTCATTCATGCTAGTAAGGAAGACGGCCAGCTCACGGGCTGAGCTGAAGTCATCCACATGTACAAAGGCGTCTGGTGGTACAAAAGCTTCATAAGTGGCCCGAGGGGGTCCCAGCACCACAGGCACAGTACCAGCTGCCAGAGCATTGCGCCAGAACTTCTCAGTGATGTAGTCTCGGTGCTGTGAATTCTCAAAGGACAGATAGAAGCGATACTGGGCTACAGTGGGCAGCAGACAGTTGACACACAGAGGCCGTCCAGTGGCACGTCCAAACACATCCACCCGCAGGTGAGGTGCCAGCTGCCGGTACAGCCTTGCACGCTTCTGACGCTCCTGGAAATTGCTGACTACCCAGGCGGCTATCCCTCTTTTGGCTGGCAGTGGGGGGGTGGGCCCAGAGTGACGCTCCAAGCGACCATAGGGCACAAAAATATCAGAATCACGCCGATAGCTCAGCACCCAATTGAAGATGCCACGGAGGTGATGGAGACCACGAGTGTTGCTGGGTGATTCCATGGAGGCCCAGACCCAGGGCTGCCCCCGTGGCCTCTGGTCCAGGGGCAGGCGGGACCGCTGGGTCTCCAGTTCACGGTGGTGGAAAACCACAGCATCTGCACTGGCCAGCAAGCTCCTGTTAGCACTCAGACGGCAGTGGGTCATCCCATAGTGGGTGCAGGTGTCACCAGGCAGCTCCGGAGGCCGATTGGTGAAAGGCCAGTGCCAGATAAGGATAGTGACTATGGGCTGAGGTGCTGGGACACCCCCAGGAACTGATCCCAGCAGCCAAAGGAGCCATAGGGCTATGAGAGTGGCACCCCCAGCCAGGACCCCCCAGGCCCGCAGCCTCCGGGTGGGACTGCATCCTGCAGCAGGATAAGAAAGGAAAGGCCCTGTCACCCAAGGCTCAGGGACACCCACAGATCTCCATCCTCCCCAGCTGGGATTCCCCGAGGGTCAGGCACTCACCAGCATAATTCATCCACAGCCTTTTGAAATCAGTCACCCAAGGAATCAAGATTTTCAAATCACAGCAACCTCCTCAACAGAGGCGCCCTGAAATCACAGCTGCACCTCAACTCAGCCCTTGTCCTGAGACACTCTCCTTTCATCTACTCAAGGTGAGGGAAGTCAGGGGCCTTCCCACTACTGCCCCACCCTGCCCCTGTAGCCTTGGCATCAACCGCTATCCACCCCCTCCACTGCTGGGAGAGAGATGGAGGCAGGAAGAAGGCCAAGCCAGGGCCCCCTGCCTACCCTTGCTTGTACCCAGAGATGATCAGCTGGGCATTTGGAGGAGGAGGAGGAGGCCCACTTACCCTCAGGGAAGGGAAGGCCACTATGTGAGTACCCTGAACAGAAGTGGCCCCCTCCCCAGATAAGTAGTGCCCCAGCCACCACCTACCATGCAGCCTAGAGCACTGGAACAGAGCAGGTGCGCTTCCCCAGAAGGGTTAGCGGGCCCCTCCCTGTAATGTCACCCACTTCCCCCACTCATTCACTGGGCTGGCCTTGCTTTCCTGACCCTCAGGCACGACAAACTGCTGAGCTCAGCTCTCTAAAAGAGGCCGTTCCACCCCACCTTTGCCCCTACTAGGAACTGCTTTGTCCTCAGAATAGAAATCCCCAGAGAGAGACCCCGTCGAGGTCCTAGGAGACCCAGCACATGCTTTGGAGGGTAAACCCAGGGCTGCACAGGACTCCAGGAAGGGCTGGGGATGTGCACATCTTTCCCTGCCCAAAGACCTGTGGGCATAGAAGTCTCAGGCTCAAGGGTGGGCCTAAGGTCCTGGGTGGACTGTGAAGAGCTGCAGGTCACTTCCTTCCTGCTACCCCAGGAGGGGGCTTTCCAGGGTGGAAAGGGAAGGAGTCTGTGCGTTCCTGACGTGGATAGGCAGGCTGGTGGGCAGGGGGCTGGTGTCCACTCCAGAAACAGGAAGACTAGTCCCAGCCCAAAGTCCAAGGCTTGTCTGGCTTCCCTCCAGCCAGCCCTGGTGAGCTGGCCTATAGCCTGGAGGTCAAGTTCCTTCCCCTTTCATGAAACCCCTCCAAGCTGGAAATGCAGTGACCCCATGCAGGAAAGGCTGGAGTGGCCAGCCCACACAGAGCCTTTAGCAGAGGTGCTGACCATCAGCTTCCTTCACCCACACCAGACATTCTGCTGTCCAGGACACTGAGAAGCCCCAAGAAGGGCATGGGAAGCGTGGCCTGTCCATGTCCCAGAGCTCCAGACCAGGAGTCCTGGAAGGAAAAGAACTACTGTCCAGGCCCACTGCTCCACTGTCCCTCTTAGAATGGCCTCCTGTACCCCATTCTGTTCTGCCTTGTGTCACTCCTGGGCCTCCAGGACTGTTGGCCTCTCCTAGCCACAGTGTCACATGACAAGGCTGCCGTTGAGACAGGAACTAGGCAGCTGACACCAGACCCATGGTGGGAACAGAGGCAAGTGCTGTTTGGCCCCCTCAGAGGTGCCCCATCCCGCACAGCAGGGTAGAACCTCCAGGCTGAGGTGGAGAGCTTGTGCAATGCCTAAAAGGGAAGGGAGGATGTGGGAGCTCTCAGAAACCATCCAGCTGGCTTGAGGAGTGACAGAAGGTGGTGGGCATGGAGTGGGCAGCTGTGCCCTTGCCCTTCTAGCCACTCAGTGTTTAATGAGATGACCATGGTGGTACTGCCTCTTTGGCCCCACCCCTGGCATCTCTCCTGACCTCTCCCCGAAGCAGGTCAACCCTAAGAGAGCCACATCCTGGCTTCAGGCATCTCTTTACCCCAGCCCACCTCTTCTCCCTGTAGCAGGAACTCAGCAAGCAGTGGGGGGGCTGCAGGAAGGGGCCCCCCAGCCTGGGGCCACAGATTTTTGACTACCAGAACCTGCTGTCCTTCCTGTTTGTGCTGCCAGGCTGGCTGGGGCCCTGGCCTCACCCACACCCACAGCCAGCTACCTTCCTGGGTGGATTTCAAGGAAACTCCCCCACATCTGCCCTGGTACTGTCACCTCCCTCCCTGTGCCAGCTCAGGTTGGCAGCTGTGCTCCCCCCCCCCATCATGAGAACATGCTAGATGGGAAATAGGCTCAGAAGTCTGGCCTAGAAATGGGTCAGAATGAAAGAGGAAAAGGGGTGGGTGAGAGAGCATGAGTCAAAGGGAAAGCCTCAACCTGCCCCTTCCCACCCCCCAGGCCTCCCGACTCACTGGGATCTCTGGGACACAATGGATACCTGACCCCACTTCTGCAGTCTGGAGCAGACAGGATCAGGATCACACACTGTGTCCTTCATGAGACCCCTATGAACCCTCCTCCAGACCAGGGCAGGCCACAGGCCTGCAGACTGCTGCCCCCTGCACAGGAGGGTGAGGGACATGCAGCCTCACTCTGAGAGTGCCTCAGGGTGCCCAGCAGAGCCTGCCAGCCTGCCTGATCTTCCCCACCCCCACCCCCAAGACTGGCTTGCTGTGTGCCTAGAGGGCCCTCTGGTGGCTATACTCAGAAGTTGCCTGCTCCTTGCCAAGGAAGGGGCTGACACACATATATTAGGGTTTGGGGACTGGGGCTCTGGGAACCCTCAGGGCTTGCTTTTGGGAAGGTGGGTACATAAAGTTGGGGCCTTGGAGGCTCGCAGGCAGTGAAAGGGGCACCTAGGTGGGGAGCATGCTGCTCAGGAGTGACACAAAGTAGTGCAGGGGGTTAGCTGGCCTGAGCGGTTACCCTTCTGGGCGCCTGAGGGAGGGGTGTGGCTGCTCAGCAGGCCCCGCCTCTCCTCTCCATTCTTTCCCTTTAAATCCATGGTGGGGGGAGCGTGTCCTTGTTCTTGTCCAAGTGCTGTTCTTGGACTAGCTACAGGATCTGCAGAGTGCTGGTTCTCTGGGGAACAGTGTACCGAACCCCAGGTTTTGCATGTCTTTTTCTGTTCTGAGCCAGGACATGCTTCTCTGGGCTACACAGCTGGTCGGGGGGCTGCAACTAAGGCCACTTCTCCCTTCCCCCGACAGGTTGCCAGGGGCTGAGGATATCCAGGGTAAAGCTGAGAGGCTGGGGGTGTGCGTGTGTGTGTGAGTACGTGTGCACATGTGTGTACTTGTGGAGGCTAGAAGTCGACATCTAGTGTCTTCCTCAATCACTCTCCACCTTTTAATTTTTTTAAAATTTGGCTGGGCATGGTGGCACACACCTTTAGTCCCAGAACTCGGGAGGCAGAGGCAGGCGGATCTCTGGGAGTTCAAGGCCAGCCTGGTCTACATAGTGAGTTCAGGTCAGCTGGGGCTACAGGGAGACCCTGTCTCGAAAAGACAAAAAAATTTTTTAATTAATTTTATTTTTATTTTATGTGTATGAGTGTTTTACCTATATGTATACAGGTACACACACATACACGCAATGCCTGCAGAGGCCAGAAGAGGGTGTCTGATATGCTGGAACTGGAGTTACTGACAGTGGCTAGCCTTCATGTGATGCTGGGAATCAAACCCAGGTCTTCTGCAAGAGCAGTCAGTGCTCTTAACCACTGAGCCATCTCTCCAGGCTCCACTTTTTTTAAAAGATGTTTTTTATTTTTATTTATCTTATTTATTTATTTAATTTATTTATTTTGTGCATGTGTGTGCTGGTGCCCACGGAGGCTGGAAGAGGGCATCATATCCCTTGGAGCTGGAGTTGCAGACAGTTGTTAAGTCGCCTGATGTTGGTGCTGGGAACTGAACTCTGATCCTCTGCAAAAGCAGTGTGATAGTTACTGTCAACATGATACAAATCTAGATACACCTTGGAAGACAGAACCTTGAGTAACTGAGGAATTTCCTCCATCAGATTGACCTATGGGCATGCTATGGGGCATTTTTAAAATTATTTTTACTATTTTTTAAATTTTATGTGTATGAGTGTATTGCCTGCATGTGTGTAAGTTGCACCAGTGTCGTGTAATGCCTGTGGAGGTCAGAAGGAGGCATCAGATCCTCTGGAACTGGAGTTATGGATGGTTGTTAGCCACCATATGGATGCTGGGAATTGAACCTGGGTCCTCTGTAAGATCAGTCAGTGCTCTTAACCGCTGAGCCAACTCTCCAGCCCAGGGCATTCTTTTGATTGCTGATTGGTGTAGGAGGGTCCAGCCTGCTGTGGGTGGTGCCATCCCTGGATGGCAGGTGGATCTGGGCTGCATAAGACAAGCAGCTGAGCAAGTCAGAGAGGTGCCTGAAACACAGATGTATCCCACTGGGCTTCCTCTAGTAAGAAGCAGGTAGAGGAGGTTGGATCTTAGCAGCCAGGCCTGAAGAAGACTCAGGTGGGCTCAGCCTCTGCCAAGTCTACCCAGGGGCTATAGTGAAACTGGCCTCTTGCTGGAGCCAGGCAAGGTGCCTCTCAGCAGGGACCCTGGGACAGGGACAGAACAGCAGAGCTATTGCTGTAGGGAAAGAAGGTAAAGTGATCCTGGTCAAGGTCGAGCAAGGCTCCTTGCCTAGGAGCTGGGTCTCCAAGCCCCTACAGACCCCAGAGTTGCCCACTTGCACTGCAAAGTAGGGAGCAGCTCAAAATGTCAGAAAAGTAGACCCCAGAACAGACCCACAGGGGTAGTGTTAGAAATGTTATGACTCTCTCCAAGAATGACCCTGGAGCTCCGAGAAGCCCCCTGGACTGTAGTCCCACCAGTGAGACACAGGTGTTGAGGACCAGGCTGCCCTGTGCCCTGGATAAGGCCTACATCTCTCTGCATCCCACTTCTCTGTGGTTATCTCCCCTGAAGGCAGATAAGTAACAACGGGCATTCATGTGCCATGCCTGGTTCTTGGCTTCCCCTTTGCCCATCCCCCACACCAGTGCCCAGAGAGAAACAGGCTTATACTGAGGGCCAGCCCAGAGTCACAGCTGAGTGAGGGGGAATTCCCTGGTGTGGGGCACTCTGGCCCGCCAAATACACTAATTGGGATAAAACAGTAGCTTCCAACAGGGTTGGTAACTTTTCTACCAGTCTTGTCCACCACACTTCAGGGCCTGCTGGTGCTTAACCGGCTTTGTCTCCCCAATTGCAAGGCTATCTGAAGCCTGCACCCCCACCTCAGCAAACACTGAGGGGCTTTTGAACACAACCTTTGCCCCTCCCTGACCTCAACAGATTAGACAGGTCTGGCTAATTAACCTTGTTCTTCAGTCTAGTGATATCCTGATTTCAGCACCTTGACCACATATTACCACCCCCCAACCCACACACACCTTAATCCACGTATGAGAGTGTGTAACGTACATTATATTGGTAAATTGTTGTATGCTGTTTGAACTCACTGAGAAGCTGACATATTACCTCCACCCATTTCAGACCCAAGCATATTTGTATCAAAGTGTCCTCAAGCTCTCTTATCTGGGCATGGCCTGGCACCCTAACTTTGTGACAAGCAGGAAAAGAACAGTAAAACAGCCCAAGAGAAAAAGCATTGTGTTCTTGGGAACAGTGAAACAGGTAAACCATTTCCAACAGATGCTACTATTATTTATACCATGATATAAAAGTGCCTGTGGTGGGACTAAGAAGCCGGAAGTTCAGTCATCGAACGCTCAGCTCAGGGTGAGTTTATCAAGTATATAGCAAGTCAAAGCGAAAGAATAAATAGCAAGTAATAGGTAGATAGACAGACAGATAGAGCTCAATTAGGAACTCCAGCTGACCATCTCTACTTCCTCAGTGGTTTCTGTTTTAAGCCCCTGATTGATGATGTCACCTTTCTGCTGTTATTTGTTCTTTTACATGGAAGCCTCAGCTGAGGGGACACTCTGCTCTGCCCAGGATTCTCTATGGGAACTCCAGCTGTCTCAACAGGGGTTCCCTAGTAGATTTTTGCTGAATATTTTGAACATTCAATTTGATATTTTGTTATCTATCATCTATCATCTACCTTTATCTATCATCTATCTACCTGCTGCTTGCTAGTTTTTATGTATAAGTGTACTGCCTACAAGTATGTGAGTGCACCCGTGTCATGCAGTGGTGCGGAGATCAGAAGAGGGCATCAGATTCCCCTGGAACTGGAGTCAAGGATGGTTCATGGCTGCCATGTGGTTGCTGGGAATCGAACCCGGGTCCTCTGCAGCAAGAGCAATCAGTGCTCTTAACCGCTAAGCCATCTCTCCAGCCCTTTAATTTTTAAAATATTTATTTTTATTTTATGTGTATGCGTGAATTGCCTGCATGAAAGTAAGTGCACCCATGTCGTGCAATGCCGGCA